GATGGGCAGCAAGAACATATTGCAAACACCCTGCGCCACACTGGTCCGTCCCGACGCCTAACCTCATGGGGTCTTCTCTGCGCACCTCTCGCCTCAGTTACACACAGGGTGCACACTCAATATATCCGTTATGCATGAGTACTTCTTTCTATCCACGCACGGTCCAGACACCGTCCCTCCACCACTATTTCTTGCCAAGCATCCCTGGAACCCCACACTGCACGAACGGGATGCCACGTTTCCTGTACCCAGCATCTCGCAAAACATGGAAACACGGCTCTTGCATAGCGGGCGCGTTTCGCGCTGATTTCCTGGACCTGTTGCAGTCGACTATGGACAGCCTGCATATTGCACCAAAACGAGTTCTTTGTCTTGCGCGCGCTCACGCATCGGTTGCTCCTGCTGCGCCGGAAGAGCTGCTCTTTCCGTGCACACCTGCTCCGTCAGCGTTCCGACATCACAGTAACGTCTGTATGTTTGCAATCGGTCAGTCTCCGATAAAGACGATCTTTACAACGAACAGAAGCATTGGAGGGACACTCTCCCTCGCAACGATGACGAGCAACGACTCACAGCTGCGGTGACACGACTGTGCCCAGCCTGGATTCGATTCGGCGCCACCCATGTCGGGAGGAAGGCTCCAAATTCTGCCAGACCTCTGGCGTTCTGCAAGTTGGACAGAAGCATTCTCAAATTTATCCACATCAACTTCCGCATGTCACCTTTCGACGCCAGACTGCTTCAATTGCCCCAATCGTGCCAAGGGGCTCTGGCCGAGAACCATGAATCCGTCCAGTCGCACAGCAAGGATCGTCAGCTCGAGCGCGTCGGCGCCCGCGACGCGCGCCCGTCGGCCAAGCAGCTCCATTGCGGCGACAGCTGGACACTGGACCTAAAGTCAAGACCTAGACATTTCCATCTAGTGTGCCCTCAAAGTCCATGGTCCTACTGTCAAAAAAAAGGCTCTTGTTTTCAAAGCTTATTGCTATAGGCTTTAGGCTGCTATAGGCTCTGATATTCAAAATCTATTTATATAGCTAAGGCTATAGGATGCTATAGGTTAGTTCTGACGTTGGTTTGTCTATGTAAGGACTGGCGGAGAACATGAACATCACCCTGACAGGAGGTCAGCCTATGTCGAAAGCCCAACGGCATCTCCAAGAGAAGTGAAAGGCTTCAATTACACCATGGTTCCACTGCACGACCCACGTGTGATCTTGGAGTTCAAGTCAGCAACCCCACATAGATATGACCCTGACTATTCAAGGATTCCGGTAGTGCGACGCGGACCTTCGTCAGGGTGGACTGGAAACGGGCAGAAAACAAACCCCCTTACGGGGCAAAAGGCAAACCCCTGCAGGGCGGGAAAGAACCCTCCGCAGGGAAGGAAAGAAACCCTGCAGGGCAGGAAAGAAACCCCTGTAGGGCAGGAGAAAAACCCTGCAGGGCAGGAAAGAATCCCCTGCAGGGCAGAGAACAAACCCCGCAGGGCAGGAACAGAAACCTCTGCAGGGCACAAGCCTCCAGGGCGGAAACTACCAGGACTGCACAGGGCGGAAAAAAAAAAAAACTGCAGGGCAGAATTAAAACCCAGCCCTTTATATTCCCAGCCACTAGGACTATAGGTTAACGCTTCTCAAGCTACAGTCACCACCAGCTTAAGACAATCGACCGGTCGCCAGTCTGCTTGGAGTTCCAAGTCTAGCGTGTAACCAACCCACACTCAGCATCTTGTACCAGCTCTTCGGGCGCGAAAATAACACGCGTGTTCATGGCTGGGTACTTTGCAAGCTGTGTAGAAGCTGTGGAACAGGAGGCCTGAAAACGTGAGACCTTCCTGGCTCGGTAAAGGGTGTCTCCCTGTTTCACACATCAGCTCGTGTCCAAATCGACTTTGGGCCATTAATTCATCGAACCTCTTGGGAAGACACTGCGCCTCGGCCGCGGCCTCGTCGTCGGATTCAGCAAAGGCAGCGACGCGCTTCAGCTCGACCTTGTTGATGAGATTCCGGGGCTTGCGAGCATAGGCCTTCAAGCACCTGCCAAGCAGGTTGTTGATTCGTGCATCTTCTTGAACCACCATGTTGATGCGTGCTTTTTCATTGGGTTGGAGAGCTTCTCTCAGGAAAAGCGAGTTGTTGTTTGTCTTCTTCACCCTTCAGGGGTTTAATCCTATAGACTAGACTAGACCAATTCTTGCAACTTGAAAGAAAAGTGAAATATGAAAATTGCAGCAAAAATGAATTTATAGTAAGTTCAGAAAAGTAAATTGAAAAAAATACTACAACAAAGTAATGCAAGATAGAGCTGGCAAAACAATGCCGGGAGGAACAAGCACCAACAGTAGGTAAAAAAATCTTGCAAAAAGGCATGGCAAACCACGAGAAGCCAAAAGAAAGGCAGACTCTGGCAGGCACAACAACAAAAACAACCACCAACACAACTCAAAACTCGCACGGAAAATAGAAAAAAAGACTTTGGGTTTATCTTGACAAAGAAAGCCTTGCGATCCCGCTCCGTGTGACTGGGAACCACAAAGAACTCTCTGTTGGAATCAGTCATTTGGAGGACCTCTCCAAAACACAATCTCTTTGGAGTCGTATCATTTGCTAATCTCTGAGTCTTGGCCATGTTTGTGCGGATGAAGCAGACAAGTGCTCTTACCTTGTCATGCATGTTCCATTCTTTGCTCCAAAGCTTAAACAGAATTGCAGAATGGGACACTGTGAGTCTCGCGGTTTACCAGCCCTAAGACTTACAGGAAATTGAGGCTAACTAACTTGCACTAAGTCATACAAGGTTGTAACTACATTGTAAGATATTTTGACCAGGAAGTGTCTGACCAGAAGATAGCGACTATTTGTCTTTTTGGATTTGTTGGTTTCATTTGTCCAGGTCGGTTCAAGTCAAGATGTTGATGGAAAGGTGCAGCATTCACGTAAGGCCGTGGATAGAGCACCTCAAAGCCTCAAAGGCTGAAGGTCGACCGTCGACCTCTCCCGGCTCAGGCGTTCCCATCCGCCCAGGGCTGAAAAGGGAAGACCAATTCTTGATAGATCCATCCCTGAAGAGGAAGACATCAAAAATACAAAACAAAACATGTCCCCCCTAACCACCCAAAACTCCCCCAAAACCTGAGGTCCCACCGTACATCCGCACGCGTCGCACATCCGACATCCACCGAAGCTCCGCTCTGAACCCCATCCGACCGCCTCTGCAATCGTCGCACGTGCCACTCGTGCGTCGAGCGGTCGGGCGCCCGATCCCGCGGCGAGATGGTCGCGGCCGTCGGGCGCCAGGACCTTCGGGGCGACGTCGGTCGCACGACAGGTCCAGGTCCTTGAACCTGTCGTCTTTTTTCGGAAGTCCACGGGGCCACCCCGCAAGACTAGAGGATCCAAATGGATCCAATCCAAACACATCGCGGGTGCGTGTCAAGGGCTGTGAAGGTAGATCTCGTCATAAAAGGGCAGGAAGTGTGAACAGATCTGCAGCTGGATGTTGAGAGTTGGACTTGTCATCCATAAAGGTGAGGCAAACCAATCCCTGATGGTTCAAGGTCCTTTTGTACAGTCACTCGTCATCTGGGTGCATGTGGGTGTGTGTTTGACCAGGAGAATCGTGGTGACGACCAGCACAACCAGGTTCTGCATCCTTGCAAGAGCGCGAGAGAGAGGGAGAGAGAGAGAAAGAAAAAAAAGCAAAGAGAGAAAGATAGAGAGATAGAAAGAGAGGAAGACAGAAAGAAAGAGAGATCCTGGGATAAAAACAAAAAGGATTTGCAACCACCACCACCACCAATTACATCCAATTACAGCACTTTGTGCCAAGTGGTGCAGGATTTCATCAACTAATTTAAGGATTCTGAGATCTGAAAAAGTCGAGGTCAATCCAAAAATGGAGACTGGCACGTCTACGTAGTAGCCACGTCAGGTTCGCAAAATCAAGCTGGCTTCATGGCGCTGAGGCTTTTTGAGGGAAGAGTTGAGAACGAATCCCTTCAAGCTTCAGCCCGGGCTACGATACTTCTTCTCCCTCAGATGAAGCGTTTCGTAAACATCAATTACGTCGGAAACTGAGCCAGGTCACGAGCAGGTCTTCAAGTCGTCCCACTTTCCATCGTCCATTGGGGCCACAAAGTTCTTCATGATCGCATCGAAGTCAGGGGACACCTCCGAAGACGGCCCCGAGCAGCAGGCGCCGAGACAACCAGTCGAACGACATCCACTCCTTCCTTTTGAGACCACTTTCTTTCGTCAATCCGGACCCTAACAAGACCCATGGAGACCCTAACAAGACCAATGGACCCTAACAAGACCCATGGCCCGCTTTATATAAAGGGAATTCTTGTTGGGAGAACCGTGCATAGGATTGATGCCTTGAAGCTGCTTGGATTGATTCCATCGTCGATCTTCCGTTCCAGGCACCCAAAGCCCGCCGTTTCGCACGAGGTCTTTGGCCGCTTGGTACAGTACCGGGCTCTCTTGTTCGGTCTCTCACCGTGCCTCTCCACGACCACGGAGACCCATCTAAACAGGACAAGGAAGGCCAAAAGAAGGCTCTCCACCTTCGCGCGGACCCTTTCGTCGACCCCCAAATCAGAGACAACCGCTCCCCCCTCCCGCCAGGCGCGGCCTGTGCGCTGGCACCGCACCCCATCGGCGACCGTGTCGGCGGAGTTCCGCAGCAACGTCGGACTTGAGCGGAGCAAAAAGGACCGGCGATCTGAGCAATGACTGGAGTTCACGGCCACCTGTGAACGATGTATATATTGCAGTCGACCTTCGAGGGCTTTCCAAAGCGGATCATGGATCAATTCCGGATCAATGATCAAGAATCAGAGGCTGCGAGTGTTTCAAAGCATGCTTCCAATTCAGGTTTCGTCAATATCTCTCAACCCTACCAAAAGTGTGCCCAGGTGATGAACCTTCGAACGAATCAATCAGGACACTTCCTGGGCTGGTCCGCGCCCCAAACTCAGCTCTCTGGGCTCCCCGGACACCGAGCCGAAGCTGCCGTCGCCCAGGCGAGCGCCCACCCGGTAGACGTTCTGAAACTTCCTGCCCACCGGCGACGTCCTTCCGTTTCGCACCCGGCGCGTGCGGTGCCGCGAGGTGCGCACGCGCGAAGTGCTACACGCCGCCGGTACATGCGAGGCAGACGGTGCTGGACGGTGCTGGACGGTGCTGGGTGCGTTGACGTTCGGCCGCCGTGGATTGCGCCAGTTCCACGTGAGGTGGATGCCTTGGGAGTGAAGCGAAAAAATGGGGACCGTCTCAGTGGCAAATGGGTCCTCTCCAAGACTGAATGAGAAAAGAACGAAGCAATCCCACCCAGCATACTTCCTCTAAAGGGCATAAGACAAATGTGCAATCATATGTAGAGACTCTTGATCAACCCACCTCCCCCTAGACGAAGAAGTTTTTACAATTGGGGCGGGTGTCCTGAATCAAGGGTCTACTGGACAGGCTTCCCATCCAGGTCTACCTCTTCGCTGCTCGGTGTTGCTCGGCCTCGAAGGGTTGAAGTTCAAGCGCAGCACACCTCAGAGACCCGGCAACGGCGTCGCTCGGATGCGCTCGGGAGGCTCCGTGACAACGGCCTCCGGGCCCGAACCCAACCGATCGGAACTTGTGTTAGAAACCCCAGACTCCAGACCCTGAATATTACGAGTATTTCGGGTCCTTCATCCATGTCCTCGCTACTCGGGGGGGGAATTCACCAAAACCGATGTGTATGAAGGTCAATGAAGGTCACCCGAGGTTGACCGAAGCTCATCTGCCGGAGAAAAGGGCCGTTCCATTTCAGGAAAAACGATGTGCTGTCGTAAATCTGCACGACAGGAAACTTCAGGCCCAAGACCATCATGGGGCAACAAACGCAACAAAAGGTACGAATGTTTGAACCAGCCGCCAAAGAAAGAGGCATACCTGGCATACCTCATCGCTTTTTTGGAACCCGTGCTACGCATCGGTGGCAACCCGAACCACCGAACCACCCGAACCACCGAACGAGCTCACCGCTTCGAGCGACTCAGCTCCAATGCACCGGCACGAGCGGAATCCACGGCCAAGCGACCTGGTGGCCGGCAGGTCGTTGGATGGAGCACACTGAGACGTTGCCACGGGAGGATCTGATTCTATATAGTATATACACGTATGTACACGTATGTGTTGTCTTTTTTTGGGGGGGGGGACACTTCGTAACTGAACTGCAACACGAGTTACAAGTTGAAGGACTTGATTTGGGGGGGGCAAAACCTGAAGACATTCCTGCATCTGAAAGTGGTCAAGTGATCCACCTGAACATCAAGACTCCCAATTACAGTAAGTCCAAACAGACCCTTCGGCCGGTTCCTCCGGGGGTTGGGCGAATCAGCGGTGTTTCTCCTTTCCGGAACAAGGTTTTCTCATGGATTCCCTCACTCCAAAAGCAGGCCACAGGGCAAATCGAACACCACAAACATGAACACAAACACTCGTTTGGTCCAGTTGGTGGTGTCAACTCACGAACGAAAAGTATGAGTTGAGTGTGGGCTCAATGATCCCAAGTGAAGGTTGAAAGTAACTATAGGTCTTTGGAACATGAAAATGCTGATGGGGTCGAACTCGGCCTCTCCATGCCGATGTTTCTTCATCAGTAGGGCAGTCCCCGACCCCCCCACCTTTGAGGTTTGGGACAAAACCAACCGTCTGAGCTGCAGCTTTGGGAGCACCCAGCAGAAATGTGTTGGATCAGAAAAGGACCGGCCCTACCAACTTAGAGAAAGTCAGACTTCTAGACCCTCATGATGAAAGCATTGAAGAGGTTTAGAAGTCAGACTCATCAGACTCTAACCCTTACAACCTCTTCCAAAATCTCAGACTTCTGCCAAGATTGTAAAAAAGAATAACATGGCCGTTCGTTCCCAAACTGAAGGCCGCTGAGCGGCGGAGGGTGCTGTAGACTGGACCTGAGATCGTCACCGAATCGATTCGTTTGACTCGCTAAGGGCTTTGCTCACTAAAGGCATCCATGGATGCAGGCAAATGGGTGTCCGGGAGACCCCCTTATCGCCCCTGGCTGGGTAGACACAGGCAAATTTTGCGAACCGAACGCAGTCGCTGCCTAAGAGGTCGCTGCCGTTTTGAATACACAATGAGATTCTGGCAAATGGCATGTTCATTCCACCAATGGCATTTTGTTGATTCACCCACTGTTGAATCACCAGCGATGCTGGAGTCGACGGAGTCGAATCGCCCAGGCATTGCTGCGAATAGCCCGAGCATGAAGTGCCTTTCAGAAAAACCTCACAAGAAGGCGACCCGGCCATGACCATATTGCTGGGCGTGAACCATTGAAAAACGACAAGTACAACCCATGAACCAGGGAACAATGAGACCATTGCGCATCCAACCCACATCAGCGCGCTTATAGTATACCCAACCGACGACCGAATCATACCGAATCCACCTCTCAACCGTCAACCCCAAACCCTCCCAACTCTCTAAAGCCGCCTAACAAAGTCTCGGACTCTCCAACCATCCTTCCCTTGTCGTGTGACGTTTTCAGATCGATATCTCTAGGAGAAAGGGTCATCCATCCTTTCTTCCTTTCTTCCACTTGCAGCCATCGTTCGGAGAAAGGGGAACCATCGTTCGTCCCCCCACGGCCCACCGCGGCCGAGGTCCCGCTGCTCCCTCCTTCGCCGCGGTGCTCCGTGTTTCCAGGTTGTCGCGATCGACCAAGCACCATCCACGCAGGGATCGGCTGTGGCCTGGGGGGTGGTGAAGGCGGATTTTCAGGCAGGTGGTACAAAGAGGTCTTGTTAGGTAACCTCTTTGGTACCCACTGGCAGATCGTGATCAAGGTAGCAGGTGGTACAAAGCTGGTTCGTCTTTTTTTTTGTGTTAAATCATGATCAACTGGCAGATGTTTTCTTGTTTGGCAAACTTGGAGGTCTACCAGTCGGCAAAGATCATCTTTTACAAGACTTACAGGTCTCGCAGATCTGACCGAAGTCTTTCCCTGTTTCCCATGACGGCAAAAAAGAACCTCTTTGCTCCAAAAGTATCTCTGTGTGGCTTTCAGAGCTATGACAGGTGTACCTCGGTCTCCCCAAAACACCGTCTCCTCAGCTCTTGGAGTCGGCTGTCACAGCCGACTCCCCCCCCAAACGTGCTTGAGCAAATGAATCGATGTTGTGACGTCAAAATGTTCGTGGCCTTTTTTGGGGGGACCCCCCCCAAGAAAAAAGGAAAAAGAAAACACTCCAGGGAACTTCAGGGAGTTCCAACTATTCATTTTGCTGTGTGGTGTGCTTCACACACGTCCGCGAAACGGGTTGTGTATTGGATTTGGTGTCATGAAGGATCACACGAGACGACAACCCTTTTTGGGATGTGATGGGACGCCAGACGTGTTTGTTGTTGTTATTTTGAGTGGGGACCTACTTTTCTTATCTATTTGGGAGTCTATTTATACATATGTATGTATGTATATCTCATTCCCTGTAACCGTGGATGATGATGGTTAGGTTGCATGCCTTTCCATCTCTCAAATCGTGGATGTCAGACCTTTTGCCGACTGCTACAGGCAATGGGACTCCCCCCGAAGAAGAAACAAATAATATAGACCTGGACCATTCAATGGGTGTTCAATGGACTACCCTACACTACTTGGGGATCCCCATTGCACACCCAGACAGGATGGTCCTGGGAGAGAGAGAGAGAAAACAAAAACAAAAATAAAACAAATAATATAGGGACTCTGTAGGGAGACTTTCGCCCCAGTGACCTCACCTTTCTGATGAACCGGAGTGGTTCACCAAAGCCGACCAACGAGGTGGTCGTCAGAGTGGTCCTCTTCGAAGATGCAGACCCTAGTGGTTTGATCTTGATGACTTGCTTTGGTGAGAAATGCTTGAAAAAAATAAACACAAAAAACACGACACCTTCTCTCGATGTGGTCGCGCATTCTCCGGCTTTCTCGGGTGACCCGACATGGCCAGCATTGTCCCATGGCCGTGCGCGCGTGCCCACGGTCGTGCTTGGTGCTAAAAACACGTAGGTAACGTGTAGAACCCCATTGACCCCTCTTTTCAAAGGAGCAAAGCGACCCACGGCCGTGCTGGCTGATGTGGGGTCCGCCAAATCGAGGTCCTGAAGGGTTCTAGGTGGTTTTCCATATGTATACCAGCATCCTCCAACAGGTCACTACTTGCGACTGTTATATAAGTCTGCAAAAGCCACCAGAGGAGACCTGCTGGAGGGTCCAGGTATAGATATGGATATGAAAAAGACCTGGAACCTCACATACCACCTCAGGTCACAAATGACTTGGGAACACCACCTGCGACTTATCTGGTCTGACGGTGTGACATGTTTCGTGCACATGTCAGGGACGGGAAAATGGTTTGATGAAACGAACAAAGAGGAAAGTGAAACAAAAACTCAGCTGGGTCCAAGGAGGATGAGACGTGATCGACCTGGTTTTCATCGACAGTCGAGCTGCGAGAAGGTCGAGCTGCGAGAAGGTCGAGTCGTGGTATGACTGGAGTGGGCACACGAGAGAGATTCCCACACGAGAGGTATTCCCCACGTTGCTATTGGGCGTTTTTCAGTTGCTATCTGGCGTTTCAAAGTCGGCGTTCCGATCGTCTGGGCCAGAGATAGCAACTCTGAGCTTCAGCAGCTGCGGAATTTTGCGTGTTCAGAATTCATCACGCGCAGGTGCGCCGGTGGCCGCCCCGGGGTTCGTGGGTTCGTGCGCACAGGTAGCAACAGCTAAACCGTGGGAGACCCTCGCAGAGGTTTGACTAGCGAGACGACCCCAGCTCTATGGATCTAAGCGGGAAACATCATCCAAATCATGAGGTGTGTCCAAATCAACACAGCTCTATTGAACCAAACATCTCTATAGACAGCCCCCACGCGAGGCGTCGAAACCTTGAGGTGTTCCTTCACCATCCAACGGTGCGACGCGGCATCGGCCCTTCACTGTTCAACAACTGCTGGGAAGCAATATGCCAATGTGTCAGTAGATGTCTCGTGTCAATGCACTGAAAACAGCAAACCTACGGGTGCACCCTTTTCAGATCTCTTGTATTCTCTTGTTCTGTTAAGGAACTCATCCGAAATCGCGGGAGTCATGAAACCAGGGCTGCGCTCCTTTCACCAAAAGTGAGTGATCCCTTCACCGAGTTCTAGTCACAGGGGCTCAGATGCGGAACATCACTCTCTACCGAGCAGGCGGCCCCTTAGTCCCTCTCTTCGCCAAAATCCTCGCCTGTCCACCAGGACCTGTTCAGGAGCACCCACGTCCACAGCCCCACCGGCGTCCCTCCAAATTTCGCTCGCCTCCAATCCACGTGGGCGTCCGAAGAGCCTCAAGACCCCAAACGGTGGAGGTGGGGCGGTCAAAGTTGTTCAAAACCTCGCCCACTTCGAATCACTTCTGCAACTAAGCCACCTATAGACATCGTTGGAACACGCTTTATGCGGGAACAACCAGCAGGTAGTTCCAAAAAAGACACACGCCACGTTAGCAGCGCCAACTTAGATAGTTCCCCAAAAAAGACATCCCCAAACCGCACCGAGCCACACAGCAGGGCGCGGCCCGGGCCCTGCAGCACCGGAGTTCCAGCAGTGTGCTGGCGTTGGAAGTGCCCAGCCTCGAAGCCGAAGCCGTTTACGGAATCGTTTTTCCGAAGCGAGTGGGGCGGGCGGAGTGGGGCGGGCGGAGTGGGGCGCCCGTCTTGGGAGTTTGGGATCTCAAGGACTCTCTGAAAACCTGAGACGAATCAGTGCCGAAAAATCGGTGCCTGAAAGGCTGGGAGTGATCTGGTTGAGGCCCAGAATGGCGATGATGGCACCGGGATCGACCGACCCATTGACCGAGAGGAAGAACAGAATAGACGATGTGCAGGAGGTCAATCTACCAGGGTTTAGGGGTCCGGAAGCCATGACCCACAGGCAGATCCCACCATTCAGGTTCATAGCCGATGGCGGCCCCTTTGGCAAAGTCGAATTCACTCGAAATTCCCTCGAAAAGACCCGCCCTTGGGCGGGTACAGGGGCACCCTCTTGTGGGACGTTCTTCATATCTAAAATCTTGGGATCAGCATGACGTCATGATCTTTAGCATGACGTTCGACACGAAATCGAAAGCTTTACCATCGATTTCTTCGAGCTCCATTGGTGGTGTTCCATGGAAGGACTCGTTCGACGCGATCCACTTGACGTGAGTGTGGAGCGGGAGCCCTGCTTCGTCTCACACCTTCTCTTGGGTGGGTCACCAGCACCTAAGCCTGGCATCAAGGCCCAGCGGAAGGCCATAGAGGCAACTGGAAGGATCAGAGTGAAGATTGGGCAGATCCTTCCTGAGGCAAAACACAGAAGCTTCCGTCAGACCCTCTCGGTCTGCAGAAGAGGTGACCCCATTGAGCCGCCGACTGCTACAGGTCTCTTCATGCTCGCACTTGAGAAGCACCAAGAGCCTTCGAGTTTTCGTACGACATGGAGACGAACCGACCAGGAAAAAATACACATGTGGGATCATGTGGGGATCTGCGGGATCTGATTTGCAAATCAAACAAAAAGTCTTGAACATGGGTATGACCCGGGTATGGCCCGCTCCAAGACAGATCGAAGACGCCGTCCAAAGATGCAGGACGTCCCGCCCAAATCTCTCTCCCCATCACTCCCATGTTCCAACTTGACACTCCCCTTGTCAGCGGAACCCAAAAAACCATTGGGTTGGTTTTCGGAAAATGGTCGAAACCACCGGTGAATTCTCAGGTTCCATCTGGTCTTCTGTGTTCGGTTGCGGAGGGGTACCACATATGACGCACAGTCTCGACTGTTGTATTCAGATTCCAAGATGCAGAAATCGCCTTGTCCAGGTAGCAGTGGACCACGAAAGCCACGGAAAAACACTCCAGGTAATCCATCTCCCACCCTCAAACACACCAAGTATCACCAGGTCCTAGGTAGCCAGTAGGTAGCCAGGTCCATGGTAAACTCGTAAAACGTGTCCACCTCCCAAGCTGATTCATCTCATGTGCCGTCCTTTTCTCCCCCACATCTCTCCCGATCTCAGCCAGATCAAATGGATCAGCACCCAGCCTTTTCTGGATGAGCGGATGCTGCAGCAGCATCGCGGCGCTCGGACGCTGGAACCTCCGGCGCCTGGAATGTCGGAACGCGGGCGGTCAGCGGGCGATCAGTGGGCGAACAGGAACGGGCTGTGCGGGCTGTGGGACATAGGTGGGTCTAAAAGAAGGAACCGAAAAGCTGTGCAAATACAACATACTTTTTTTAGGGTAGAGCAAGAGCGTGTCCAAGGTCGGAGATGCTTGTTTTGGTCGTGTCAAGAGGACGACCATGCCTGCGGATAAGTGCAATTCCCTCAAGTGATGCAAAATCCATGGTGTTGGCATTGTCGAAGAGTCAAGTTCCTAAGTTGTTCACATTCGCAGGTATTTCCCACGAGTTGTAGCTTCTGCCCAATTTACAGTTGGCCCCCCTCTCGCTTTGTTGGATGCTTTATAAAGTATCTTTCATGAAGCCGAGCAAGTCTACTTCGAGTGAAGTTCCTAAATTGTCCGTGTGGTGGTGCCTTGATCTTGAATGAAAGTGGTATGCAATGGTAATCATGTGTTCACTCGTGGCGACACCCAACATTGCACCTCTTGTCAGCTATTTTGGAACACAGATCCCACATACCTCATTTTGAAAGAAGTGTAAGATGCTGCAAGCCAGTCTACACATGCAAGCCAGTTCTTTCTACTCACCATCGCGCCATCAATTTCCTCCGGCACCATCCTCGCGCGTCAAAAGCTGCTCGAAAACAGTGAACTTCCGAAGCCGAAAGTCAGTACTCAAGTGGATCTCTTCCACTTAGATCTTTGGGTTGCATGACATCTTTCCTAAGACTTGAGCTCTTCAGAACCCGGACCTCACCTGAGTTAATCCTGCTAGGACCAGGACTTATCCCCCACTTCAAACCGAAATTTCTGGGCGTCCGTGCTTCAGCAAGGAGTAGCAGAGCGGTGAGAGCTCCGCGTGCCGCGCCGCCAAGGGACGTAAAGGCCGTTGGAGGCCATCCCGCAGCTGGGCCAGGTCCTGGCAAGGTAGCCAAGCCGAGTGGGGCAGTGCAGGTCGGGTGGTCGAAGAGCCAAAAAGCAATTCATGAAATAGACTTCCCTACAAGTCCAAGGACCAAACCTGGTCCTTTTAGCTCATTGAGTATTGGCTTTGCATGACCGGACCTAGTCAAATGAGGTCCGCTTGACCTGTAGGGCTTGTTGGAAACGAAGAAGAAACATTAAGAAACCGAAAACAACACATGTGGGCTTGGAAGGGCCCTGATGTGACAAATATATGAAAGAAGGCCTCACAATAACAAGGTCGCGACGCTTTTGGGGATGCTCATTGTAAGTTTACCCATCCGCGCATTTCTGGAAGGAAAGGTTTTAGGGGGGCGGTGTCCACCTGTATTTCTGTCCCCAAACCCTCCGGATCGATCCTATACCACTATCTCTTTCTGCCCCAACCACTTCGGACTGCAGCCGCCCCACTTCGCCACGTCGCCCCACGAACTGCACGCCGCACCGCGTGGTTCCAGGGCGGCTTCAAGGCTGCAAGCTCGTACCTCCGACGCCCGAGCAGCGACCGCCGCGACCGCTGCGGTGGGCTGTTAGCTGGAGGCCACGTGCCATGGACGTGGCCCGAGACAGCCCGAGACAGACGGTTCAGCCCTCAAATACTCTGTTTGACCAAGCCTCCAGACTCTCTATGCGAGTTGAGAGTTTTTGCCAAGAGTCTTGACCCCAATCTCAATGGTCTACGAGTCTACGACGTGCAGGCTGAGGACATGAGGAGCACTTCGGGAGCGTGCCAGTTTACTCTTGAAGTTGCACACCCCAGCTTGAGATCATTTACACCTTCAGAATTCTCTAACATAAGCCCGGCCAGTGGAATTTCCAGGTGTATCGATCTTCTTCTACAAACCAGTTACCCCTGTCGTCTGTCGAAGGATTGATCGCAGCTACCATTTGCATTGATAATACGTCACTTAATTTCAACCCCCTGGCCCAAGACGCGGAGATCACCACTCAGATGATACAATCGGAGCCGGCTACATCAATCGACATGGCTGGCGGCTGGGAAAAACAGCCACCGACAGCCACATCTGTTCCAGGTTCTTGTGAAGGACTGCCAGGCCCAAATCCTTTTGGCGTCTTGCGTGCATGCTATCCATTGGAATACTCCTACCGCGAGGCTATAGTAGGCCTGTACTCGCTGTACTGGCTCTACATGCTAACTTTACTTCACCGCGTGAAACAAACGGTCAGATCTCATCAAAGCGTCAAACACCAGCAGCACCATGTAGGAATGATGCTTGGTCCATCCTCTAAGCTGTCCATATTTTCTGGGGGAGGGTGTTTGACCGGCTGGATGGGTTTGGCTTCTGTGGCTCTCAAGTGGAACTGGGAACACATTCTAGCATGCCTGAAGCACCTCCAGCGATGTTGCTGTGAGGATGGCAAAGCTCTTCATGGCCAAGTCACTACTACCACTAGCAGCTCTACAGTCAAGCAGCTAGCACCTAGGACTCCTGGGACCTAAGCTGAAACATGAAAACGTGAAGAACTCAAAACCTTCCCACTGCAAGAGACCACTGAGACCACTTCCACCACTTCTGTCATTTTTCACAGCCACATAGAGGCTATCACCGACCCACCAAGTCTGAAGGCCTCTGCATCAGAACCGCCCCATCTGCCAAGTTCGGCGCACAAGATCACACCCATCGCCCACATGTCAGAGGCACAGCTGTGCTCCTGATGACTCGAGTCAGGTATGTGATTGATTTCTCTATCATTGTACTTGTATGCAAAGCTATCAGAGCTCTGATGTTTGGATACTGATTTTTGGGCGCACGGGTGGCAATGGTCTGATTAACTTGGAAAGGGATGCAACATGTTCCACCGGGGGTGTACCAGCATGGCCCCTCCATCAAATCATGTCCAAACAAGGTGCTTCCAAAAGGCAGGACTGCTGGAGAGCAGTCCTGAAAGTCTAGTGCGATGAAAGAAAAAAGAACTCAATATGTTTTTATGTTTCCCTAAGTTCGGTTCACCTTCCTAAGAAAGAAAGTCTATATATTGTTTCCCTTTAGGAAGGTGACTTCCATCGGCGTTCTTCCACCTAGAATGGGTGGACTCCTCTTGAACACATGCCGCAACAGGAATTTGAACAGTCCTGTCTAGACAGGCATCCAGTGGAGATCCCCAAAAACGAGATCAAGTGCCATGGCCACAATGGCGGTAGATACCTCTAGCCTATTATACTTCCACTAGCCTATATGATGATTTCTATAGCTTCTTCTCAGACATTTGCCCAACACATCCCGTCCTGCAAATCCCGTCCGCTTCTACCGCCATCCGACACCGTCACGCCTCCCGTCGTGAGACCGCCCCAAGCGGCCGCGCCGTGCGCGGCGCCAAGCGCGCGTCCGCGTCATGGGCCTCGGTCCCAAGGAGGATCTCGGGTGCCAGGTAGCACATCACTTCCATCTCCGGCCTGGCGGACTCGTGGCGGACGGGGCGGACTCGTGAAACCCCTGGGCACACCGGGAGGTACACTTTGGAACGCCAGGTCCGATGCCGGAAGAGGGTCCACTCCGACCAATCCGTGGATCCGATCCTTTAGACTAAAGGGAACTGGTACGTCCAAGAAGAGAGAAGAAGATCTACAGGACCTCCGAGGCCCTAAGAGGCTCTTCCAAGACTCTTCCAAGACTCTAAGAGTGCCAGACCGTAGACGGGATCTCCAAGCTAGGCTGAGAATGTCCGGCTTTCCGGTGGCTTCGCTCCAGAAGACAGCACTTGGGGACTGAGCCAAGGGTCGTATAGTCATGTTTGTGGTTCTCAGGAGCCAAACATGGCGAACATCGGTGCTCAAAACAAGAAACTTCACTGAATCTCATCCACACCTCAAGCCGTTCATCTCTTTTCATCGAGCCATGCCCCCTGAGGCCCGACCTCTCGTTGGAGAGCTTGTGCTTGAGAATCGCAGACCTTGATGCCCCAGATGCTTGGGTGACGAAAATGAAGCAGCAAAATGCTGGGCTAGCCTGGGCTGCTAGTGCCAGTTGAATGAATCTAGAGAAAACGACATCATGCGTGGAAAAGCTGCACATTTGCTTGGAGGCGACCACGTACGGTCGCTTGGAGGTGGGGTTCTCGCTGAGCCCAAGAGGGTGGGTGTCTCGTTTACGGTGTGACCCACCGGCGACCACAGATGGCAGATCTGCCCGGAGAACAGGTACACTTCTTCCCGGAGCATCCAACAAGGTGGGTTGCCATGAGCCCGCGTGTTCCGCGTCCCGCGTGCGGGTCGCGTTGCGGGTCCCCTCGGGCGCTGGGCAAGGCCACTCCGGTCAGGACCACGAGCCTCAGAATCGAAGGGTTGGGCGGCCGGTAGAAGCAGGTTGACGGTGCGGTCGCAGTGGATGCACCCTGGAACCAGGCAGTGGATGCGGCACTCGTGCGCGAGGGACAGACCCCTTTTGGAGGTGAAAGGGATCGTTTAACGAGGCGGAACAACACAAACAAGACGTTGCTCACAAGTCACTGACACCCTCGAATACATTCAACTCCTGTACACCCCAGATCACCACCGAAACCCTTACATAAACCAAACTCACCCGATGCTTGACCCACCCTGACCCATCCCACACCACTTCCACCCCCCACCAGCACTTGACTTTCTCCAAGCGGCCCCTCGCGCGTGAGCAGCAGCTGCCTGAGCCGCAGATCCCGGTGGAGCACCTCCATGCGGTGCAGGTAGTCCACCGCAAGCAGTGCCTCACCGTCCGTCACCATCCGTCCCGGTGTTGGCTCACCGCTTTCGGGAGCTACTGAGGCGATGGTTGCTCCGGAAAGCCCCCTTTTTCGCTGGGAGGGAGAGGCGAGTCAGGCGAGTCCTGCTGGCGATGGTTGCTCCGGGAGAGTGGATGGTTCCGGTCCTTCGGGGAGGTGTTTCAGAGACCGAGACATCTGGGAAGAGGCACCGCAAAACATACCTTGACCCAGCAAATCAATTGGGCGAAGGGAAGGGAGATGGGAACCAAAAGGGGCTTTCGGTTAGAAATCTATATATATAGAGAGAGAGAGAGACTGGTGAAGAAACAGGATAAGTTGACCTGGCAAATGGGACATCTCCTGTGGCTTGTCCTGCCATCCTTTCCTACAAACAATGCCGATTGTGTATGATTGAAATACTCTTTCCCAGAATTTCATCTTGCTATAGGGACCCTGGACCATCTGGACCAGAATGTTCTCATATTCTGGGGTCATGCTCCTCGCGTCCCCTGTCCCCCCCTACGTCACCCCCCCGCACATGACGTGACCCGAATGGGCGCCGTCTCCGGCGTCGCGGAAGGTCTCACGCCTGGCCTGCGTGAACCACAGCAGGACCTTGTCGCCCAAGTCTCGCCCAGCAGCCACCTGCGCAGGACGTGGCCCGAGGACGGGCGAAGAGGACCGGGACGACGAGTGAGGTTTAACAAAGAGACCTGCGGGGTTCAAAAGAGAGGGATTTCTCTCACACCGATGACCCTCGATGACACAACCCTGGTGACCCGTCGTTTGTATCGAAGCTCAAAAGTCCGGGTTGACTTTGAGGGTTGTGAGGGGAGAAGCAAAGATCCTGCAACCTTCGGCCAGGTCTGGTTCCGGCTTCGCCTGAGACCGCCTGAACCACCAAACTGACGCAGCAGGGAGTAGAGATCCGTTGCGTCGGGGTCATGAATGATCCAAAACGAGGTTCCGAGCTTGTAGGAACAGTCAAAATTGACACCAAAAAGAGCCACCACCGCTAGACTCGTCAGCTCCAAAATGCTCCCACAAGCAGCACATGGCACCTGGCGTTCCGCATGCAGGATCGGGCCTTTGATATACAGTACAAGCGGTACTTGGTGCTGCTGTCCGATGTAGAGGTGTACGGTGTGGGGGTTTCTGTTGCATCTATCAACCTTCCCGGGCCGTCGTCCCGCACCTTGAGATTCGATCGGATGGGGATGTTTGTTCGGTTCAACCAATGGTGTCCATTCGGAGGGGATGTTCGGAAGAAGCCGAAGAATGTCCAAAAGCCAAGGATATGATATGACACAACCATACCAACTCAAGGAAAACTTCAGCGCGGTCAAACAGTTCCTGTTTACCTTCTGTGTGGAGGCTAAAACCGTTTCGGCTTGACCGCTGTCCGGTCACGTCACGGACCGTCGTCCGTTTGACGCCTCTGCGGCCAGGTTTCCACCAGGCAAGTAGTCTAGCACGGTGCACAGCTTCCCTGGGACCATGTGAGAGACACGCGCCGCGCCGCGTACGCATGACGGAACACGTGCACGCATTTTCGGGAGAGGAGAGTTCAGCTAGGTACGCAGGAGCTGCGCTTCCCGCAGGCGACGGAGAAGAGGAGGACTCTTGGGGTGGCTGTGGGTCTGTTGTTCGTTGTGGGCGGATCTGTTGTTGTTTGAACTTCAGGATCTATGCGTCTACACTCCCTGGAATCATCATGGTTATATAATATGTGGATGGCATGGCTCTCATCTCGGATGACCGTGAAATCCGAATACCCAACAGGCGGCGTTCCACTTCCATGGTTTACTCTCAGGGAGTTTACTCGTAAGGAGAATTGAACCAACCGGACACGGTCGGAAACAGCAACAACCTCGCAGGAACCCAACGGTCTAGGCCTAGGCCCGGACCTCGCGGTCTCGGTTCACTGACCTTTGATTGATATTTGGGGTGAGACCTGGCCGGATCCCTGCAGCTTCATAGCGGCCGGTCAATCCGAAGCAATGACTCAAATGAGATCCAAAAACCTTTTCGTGCACCTGTGAGCTTCAACGGATGGCACTGATAGCACTCATCTCTGTGTTCCTGAACCTCCTCTTCCAGCATCAAACCCCCCTAAGCTGCTTCGCGCGGCTCAAAAACAAGCGATGCGCTATCGCGATCCCTCCGCCTTGGTGTAGGAAGCACTCTCTGAGCCTCACAGGGAGAAGAAGAGTACGGGTCACCAGTAACGAACGAAGGTGCTTTGCGGTTCCTCAGGATCTTCCACCAGTCCACTTGGACCATCGTGTCTGGGTGTGGCGACCAGAGATCCCCTGGCTGGGGGATTGATCCTAGGTGGGCTGGGGCCCGTCCAGCGAGGCAGCTAGGACACCCACTCAAAATTCCTGGCACATGAAACTAACTACACTGACTAACCAGGATATATAACCGTCAATGAGAAGGACACTATATGATATATACACTCCCTGAAAAAAATCCTGGAAATGGATGATTTCAGGGAGTGTAAGTAGATGGCTCGGCCATCACAATCCAGGTGAGAAAGACAGCACCGTACCATCGGTTCCGGGTGCCAAGCGCGACAGCCCCAGGAGAAACAACCAATTGCCAAACGTGTCAATAAGGCTGTGAAGCTCGACCTGTTGATCAACAAAGATCATGCACCACCCAAGATGCACAAAGTATCACAAGGTAAAAACTATAGGACTCTCTGACTCGCTATGTCGTTAGCATGGGCAGCCCATGAGAATCTGTCTATCAACAGTATCACCCAGCTTAAGAACTCTGACGTGTTCAGCAACCACAAACCCAACGTGACAGTGTCCAACCGGTTCGCACTCGGTGTGACAAAGCACGCCACTGATCACTTGCTGATCCCATAGAGGTCTTGCTGATACCAGGTGCATCTGTGCTTGCATATCTTCTTCCAACGCTCTCATCCCAAAACCCTCTGGACAGCGGATAAACCCAAAAAAAGAGAGAGAGAGAGAGAAGGAATCTCTGTCAATCTTCTGAGCTTTTCAGCGGTTGGGCCCTATTTTCACACCACCCTTCCACCTTTTTCCACCTGTCCAGCAGCTCCTCCCACCTCCCACATCCACATTAGAAACCCTCCATCCACACAGTTGCACCACCCTCCCACCCTCCCCAACGCTTTCGGCACCCGCAGAGGTGTGGATGCCGCAGCTCCGCCAGGCGCCGGAGCTCCTTCAGCAGCTGCAGCCGCTCCTCGCTGCTCAGGGGCGACACCTCCGCCAATGGGGAAAAAAAAACGGTCGACTGAATGGAACAGAAGACCCTATGATCAAGAAAAAATCCCAGGGTCCAGTGTAACCTTGAACACACCTCCAGTCAACAAAAGAAAAATATGTCGGAGGTGGTTTCCAATTCCGGGAGACGCCCCCCGGTTCTTGCCCCGATCGGCTGGGTTCACTGGTCGACCATTCTCGCAGGAGAACCAGAAAGAAAGGGGGTCGGATTGCCTCTCCCTATTTGAGCTACACCCTTGAATCATAATGACCAGGGCCACCCTGGTAGGGTTGGCCTCCCTACATAAATCATGCATGAAAATCTTCCGTGGGGGGGTTCGAAAGCAACCACCCGAACTGGGTGGTGCTGGTGATCATGGATGTTCAGAACATCTGTCCTTCCTCCCAATGGATGCTACTTATGGCAACGGCGGTGAGATCGGAGACCTCCAGGGACGACATGCACCGTGCGCCACGGTCGTTCTGATCCGACCACTCTGGGAGATCGATCTCAGGACATGTGAGACATGTGGCTTTGGGTCTTAAACCAACCTTGGTTGACCACTGAAAATGAACAGAATAGACTACTAGGGAGGAGACCGGAGAACCTACCGCGGTTCAGGATTTCCAGGCTTTGACTCATAGCCCATGTGGATTTGGGATCGATCCCCCGTGTTGGGGGCGGATCTCTTATATAGTGGAAAGTTGGGGACACCATCAAAACGCCTGAGAAAATGGGCGAATGCTGGGAGTTGAAGCAAATCTTCACGGAACAAAAACATGAAGGGAAACCCTTCGCAGTCACCACACAGCACGTAGGCCACCCACACACCCCAACTTTTCCTGAAAACCACCTACAGCCAGCCGGACCCCTGCACACAAGCCTTCTGTCACGCTGTCATGCCTATCAAAAACCACACACGTCCTGTGCAAAGGAAACGAAGACTCGCTTTTCCAGGCCTCGATGGCTTTCATCAACGCCAGTTGCCCAGTCTGTGCATCTTGCACGAGCAAACCCACGCCGGAACGGCCTCCAACACCGAAACTCGGAGGCTAAATGAGATGAGGATCGGTGCGGCTCCATCTGTGCCGACCCTTCGACCGGAACCGAGTGTTGGGGCCCATAAACGGCTTAGACGAGGCTGCTGCATTGGTCAATGGGGTTCTCTTTTTTTCTGCATAGTATTATCCGAGTACATACCAGACGAGCATACCGGGTGGGTGTTTGGTCTTTCAAGCATCTGAAAAGTGGATGTGGGTGCTCCCCCGGGTTGATTCGGGTGCCTTCACGCCCGAAATGAGTTTGAGGAGCTTACAGCTACGCTACAGTACTTTGTGACCTCGCAAGTGACCTCGATGTGCCGGGTGTTCTCCGCATTTTTTTTGAGCCAACTTCCCATGCACGGGTGGGAATCCAATGTCTACACTCTGACGAACACATCACATGCATGGAAGTAGATCGCATGGTCCCGTTGGAAGACTAATTACTGTCCTTTGCGAACAGGGAAACCTTGTGATCTCCCCGTCGCAGTGTGTTTTTGACCCCCCCGGTGGAAGTTCTTCAGGCCACCGCTCGTGGGGTCCAGCGTCCAGCCTGTGCTCACGTGCCGCAGCCGCTGGTAGTGGCGAACCATGGCGTGGTGATTTCACGTGCCCACGCAGGTGAAACCATGTGAAAACACCAAAGACGTCCGGAGAACGGGATGGTCAGGTGATGTTTCTTCAATGTGTGTTTTGGTCGCTTCGTCCATCGATGGTGCTAGGTGTGAAAGGGTATTTAGGCACAGGGACCCACCTGAACTCAGAGATGTGTTTGACATTGCCTGACCGATGGTTGAAAATAGAAAACACAAAAAAACAAAAAACTCCACCAATAAATGAAAAGCTTGGAAAGCTGGAATCAACTTTTTGAGGCTCTGCTTAAATCGTGCAGCACAGTGGTGGCTGGGGAGGCAGCTTCCGACAGATTCTGACAGACTCTCTCCCTTCCAGACAGCACATCCAACCAGTTCAAGAGCATTTTCAGCTACAATCCACAGTTTTCTACGTTCCTGAATTCATCGGGCTTTTTGCAAGCTGAGGGGTCCTAAAAGCACCGCTTTCAACGTTTAACATGGCTCCTGTTCTTCTGTGAGTTCATAGGATTTGAGGCCCATGCCATCTCGTCTTGTGGTTTATCTCGTGCCCCTGCCGTGTTTTCCTTTGTCTCCTCTAGTGGACCTCCAGAGCCACAGAGTGTGGAGTATTATTTTGCTCCACCTGACCCGCAGCTCCTTACCCCGTGAACTCCGGAGTTCACGGGGGTTTTCCCCGATGCGGAGATCTCGATCCCCATGAACCGGCCAGAGTTCGGGGGTCGTCCGCTCTCACATGGTTTTGGTGGGAAAAGGGGAAATCGCCGGTGTGTAGACGGTCGTCCGCTCCTTTTGGAGAGTCCATGGCTTTGGGGGAGATCCGGCGGAAAGACGGACAGGTCGGGGGATGCCCGCTCATCCAAATAGGTGTGATTCAATGAAGGAGCCCAAGTCCATAAACCAAACAAATCAAGGCACCCTTCGTTAAACCATGTTGAACTGTTTTGCAGCTCATGAGAGGTTGGTCGGGCCTCCTACACCTTGAGAAGGCTTGTTGCCTCGATTTCTGTCTTGGCAGGTCGTGACATGGCAGGGTAGGGCGGAAAATGGATCCTGAAAACACTTTCCCATTTGAGGCCCGGATTCTTGGGGCACAGTGAATACCACGGAGTTCGGTGATGTCTAAACGAGTGGATCCAATGATTCCCAATGTCCCACAAAAGGCCAAACTGCCACCCCTGGATGATCAAGTAGGCAACCAAGTTGAATCAAGATCCACAAACTCAACTCATCTTTAAAAATGTGAGTCGAGAGATGTCTAGAGTTTAGATTCCTAACTCCTGCCCTTCCATTAGGCAAAACATAAACATAGCAAACCATATAGCCAACATGTGAAATAGGAAGCAAAGAATCAGTTGCAAGAGATGTATTCCCCTGCAATAGCACACGACCACTATTGACTGCTATTGACTGCTATTGACTGCGTTTTCTGCGTCGAACCCCCCCCCAGGACGGCGCATTTCCTCCTTCGTCGAACGCGCCATCTGGATCTGAAAGCTTCTCGAGCGTAGCCATTCACTTCTTGGATCCAAAGAACTCCGCGGTAACAAAGCCGATCAAGACTCAGACGATGTTGGACGATGGACTGGACGACGGACACACGGAGCGGTGAGAGAGCTCTCACTCGGGAAAAAGCCAAAAAGCTCCAGAACCACGGGTTTTTCTTTCGTGTGGGAGAGAAGAAACCATCTCAAAGGAGGCCAAGCACCAAAGGCAGACGGATGCCGGAGGCCCCCGAACCAGCAAATTGGAGGCGATGCTCCCTTCGGAGGATGCCGTATCCTTTGTTTCAACCCGGGTGAAGCCACCCCAACTCGGCACCACCCGGAGACAACTCGCGGAACCCGCGTGTGGCGCGGCGTGTGGCGCGGCGTGTGGTGAACGAAGACTTTGGGAGTCAAGAGACTCGTGCTTTCCCATCTGACTGGTGCGACGCGTGAAGGAATGAGGGTGGCTGGATCCTAAGTTCTCTGTATGGAGGCCATCGCTACTAGGTTGGAGACCATCCCTACTATATAGTTATCATTCTCCGTGTGGGTCGATGGTAGCTCTGGTCGCTTTGGTCTCGGGAGTCTGCCGAGTGGACCGAGTCTGCTTTGGTGTGGGACCGGACGTCGGCAGCTTCAAAAGAAGAAAGAAAACATGGAAAGATCAGAGATCGGCAGCTCTCCCGCCCAAGCCAAGATCTTTTACCTCTGGTGGAATTGAAGCAAATGGCTCAAAACAGCCTCCAAGAAATTCGCAAATTTGGCCTTTGGGATTTAGGGAGACCCGGGTCAAGATTGGACTAGTACAGATCCACGAATTCCATCCCAGTGGCCAATCAATGCGACTCCTCCATAGACCAGTTCAAAGGTGGACACTCCTCGCATGCACCGGGCACGGCTTGAGCACGGCTTGGGGCACCCTCAACCCCTGTGGATGAAGAAAGACACGCCTCGGCAGCCCTGGAAGCATCGTTAAGACCATGGGACAGCAGTGGCGAATGAAGGTTCCATAAGCCTGGTGAAATCTTGGATCTTTGGACTGGCACCAGCTGCTCAGGGTGTGGGGCCAACTCAAGGTGTTTGCTCAGGGTGTTAACGTCTGTATCTCGATTGAAAGTAATTGAAAAAGAAAACATTGAACCATATGAACGAAGAGTGAGAATTCCCATGATTTTCAGGGGGTCGAGTGATATCGATCAAAGTTCGATCCAAGTGATGCTTCTATCAGATGCCTCGATGAGCAAACCCCAAAACGGCTTTTCAATGTATTGGAAGCCGTTACTTTCTGTTTGGACCACTACAATCGACTCCTCTGCAATCAATTGATGCTCCTTCAATCGCTTGAGCGGGCAAAGGTACTGCCGCCAGCGCTGCTGCCACTGCTGCAGTGGGTGCAGCTGCTGCCACCGGCGCAGAAGGCGTCCGGTTTGGCACCACGAAGGCCGCAGAGAAGAAGAGGAAGGCCTAGGTACAAAGCTTGGACATACTCTCCCTGGAACTAACATGGAAGTGGAACCCCCCCTGTTTGTAGAGGATCATGATCTTTCAAGGGACCATTTGCCACTTGATAAGGCCCAAAGACTTGCTATGACTGACCAACATGTCTGTAGAGCCGCAGCTTGGACACCGGGGCCGGAAGGGAAGGGAACTTGTGGTGGAAAGGTACCCATCTGGTCAGCCCTCCCTCCGTCTTTGAGGAAAGAACGATCCACTAGGGAGAGGTGTGGATCTTCCCAATGCGTTGTCTACCAGGAGTTACCATGCATTTGATCTGCGACTTTTTTTCAGCCCGGAAAAAATGTCTCGTCAGATTTGTGATGTCATTGTGATCTCAGACTCACTTGGCGGGTCGGTTCAACACACTGTTTGCAGTCATCCTGGTCGTGGGTTTCCACCGTCGAACTCATGTCATTGTTCATGAAGAAGTATAGAGAACATTGAAAGTTGTTATTTACATGCAATTAGAGCTATTTGCACTACTGGTGTTGACAGTGTGGGACCTGGAGTTCTTGACCCTCCTCCTTGGGTTTTGATTCATGCAAATGGGAACCTACTGCCTGATCGTCTGCAGGTACTAGAATCAAACGTGGGACTGGCATGATTTGCGGGTAGTGTAGGATTTTGGTCCATCACGGGCAAGTGTACTCAAAACCAAGCATCCCAACGCAGGGATACAAACTTGGGATTCAAGACGGAAAGTCACCCCCAGTGAGCGTGGTCACGATTCCTGCACTAAATGGTCTCATGACCCTCTAACCTAACATGAATGAAAATCTAATCCATCTGCCTACCTTCCGGACCCGCTCCCCATGCCCTGCAACACAAGCCACCACACAAAGCCTGGGAAGAACAGAAAAGTGCCAGGCGTGCCCGGAGAGGAAAAGCAAAAAAAGGACTCGCCCCGCTCACGTTGAGTCTGTGCTTGCACGGCTTGAGATGTCGTCAGGCAGATCGCTTGAAGAAACTGGGGTGGTTGGTTCACCAAAACGATCGCTGTTTTTGTGGAGCTCAAATGGGGAGGCAACACCCACATCTCTCCACATCCTCAGGTGTTTTCTTTGGGAAAGTAAAAAACGGTCTATTAGCCGAGATCTCTGGGCGTAGACCTACGGGGTCTCCCTCGTAGACCTACACACGCTCGAAATTGCCTGGTCTCCGAGGCCACAAGATACATGAAAAAGGCAGGTCCGACGCAACCCCATCTGTGCTCCACAAGGCCAAGGAACACACCCCCTAAACATCCCCAAACTCTAAACAGTGCGCTTGTCATCTGGCTAGTCCATCCTTTCTTACCTCAAATCTGTCAACTTCTAATCCCTGTCAACTGCCCGTCAACTCACCTGGATGAACGTATGTGTCTTGCTGTCCAGGAAGCTGGAAACCAAAAAACATCTTCTCGACATCAGCGAGTTCCAAAACATCCAAAAAGTCACCCGATCCTTTCCAAAGCCAAGGCTCCAAGTCAGCAACGAGCTGCTGCGTGCCATGGCGGAGGCGTTGGCACCTCCGGTCCACCCGGAGTCCACCCGTGTCTGTTGCTGAGCCAGAGCGAAGCCACAAACAAGCCCACAAAAACGCTATGATGGCCACACCTTCCTTGGATGGCACCATCCTTCGACCAAGGACCACGGTCGACGGCAAAACCGGATCGTCGAGCTCCAAGCTGCGAAAACCTCGCTTTTCTCCGGTTCGCAGCGTCATGGCACGACAGCCGACGGCGCTCGTAAATCGATTTAATCGAAGTTCTAAAGGCATCGTGCGTATTCTTCACCACGCGGGCCGCTTACGGATGGTCAGCGTCTGGCAAACGAAGGTGCCATTGTTTCATCAGTGGCAACGGCAGCTTCAGAGGTGCAGCAATATATACTGTCATGGTGGCAGCACATGTTGGTGGAGAATCGTAGGGATGCTTTTGCCCTACCAGCCTGCAGGCGGGCATTGCAAATTAAGCATGGCAGCGATCAAAGAGTTGAACCCTCAGGCTTTTGAGTCTCGCCAGTTCGGCCTGAGCTC